AAAATACAAACTTTAAAGAGCAATATAACAAAATTTTATTAATACAACTACTTTTGTATCTTAAGTAAAAAATGATTTCAATCTTATTCTAAATTGATTTATGTAAAAAAATATCTTTTGAAAAAATAGTCAATTTGGTTCCTTTTCTCAGCATCTAGCCTATATAATTAAAAAATAATCTATAATCAGATTTAGTGTTTCTATAAACCAGATTTAAACTAGATATTAGTTAAGTCTGAGTCTGGTCTGATTTTCAGACCCGGCTCAGACTTTATTTAGAATTTTTAGTTGAATCTAAGTTCAGTCTAGTCTAGTTCAAAGTCTGAAGACTAGTCTGGTCCAAACCTGAACTTAAAAAAAAGTTTAATTTAGGTTCAGTTCAAGGTTTATAAACATGTTTAGGTTTAGTAAGAAAATATAGTAAACAGTGAAGATATTTTTACTAAATATTTTTTATTACCTTTAAAATTTTAGAATTTGGGGTTTTCAAAGAGACCTTTTTTTTTTACTAGTTATCCTTTTTTAACTTCTTATAAATGTTGTGGAGAAGTATTTTGTGATCAAAAATGGTGTTTAAAATGTTAAAATTGACCCAGTAGATAACTATTTTAGTTTTTGTAATTATATAATTTTTCTTTATGTAAATAAAGAAAACAGATAGCCATTAAGACTAAAATACTTATATCTCATGATTAACCAAGTCAATTTTAATATTTTAACTGTTATTGTTATTGCAAGACACTTCTCTACAACTTTAATTAGAAGTTGAAAAGAAATTTGCTTAGTAGAAATTTAAAAATAATAATATTTTTTATAGTTTTATTAAAAAAATTATAAAAAATGATATGATCCTCACCATTTTACTAATTAATTCTATTTTATGCTCTAATAAAATGTGTTCTACGCATAAAAATACACCATATCGACATATATTAAATTTATAATTTTAAATTTTAAGAAAAAGATGCTTAATTTTGAAATTTTTGTTCAAAAATTCAAAATTAAGCATTCTTTATTAAAATTTAAAATTATAAAGTAAAGATATACAAATATAATGTTTTTTTATGCGTAAAGCAAGTTTACTTAGAGCATAAAGATGTATTAATTAGTAAACATTTAAGAATAATATCATTTTTTATAATTTTATTAGTAAAACGTTGTGTTACGAAAAAGTACTTTAAAGTGTATAAATGAGTTACCCGGGTAATTGATTTGCATTAGCCAATCAGACGAACTTCTTCCTATGAGGTAATGCTGCTGTGTGACTAACGGCAAATGCTTCTCTCGCAATTTTACTCTAACCCAACCCTAACCCTAATGCTTATTTGTTCTAATAATACAGTCTGCAGTCACCTTTTATATAATCACACCCTCTTTATAAGTACATTTTTTGAAAAATTATTGGCAAGATATTTATTAAAAAAACTCTATATAATAAATAACATACTATTAAAATTTTATAATCACATCTTTTTTATGTAAAACAAACAGCGTGATTATAGAGGGGAAGACTGTATTATATTTGTTTAACTATTAACACATAAGGGCACAAAGTGCACGGGTGTACTGTTAGATTATTCCTTTTATTACAATATTTGATTCCTGCAATTCAGAATTGACATTTTATTTTTGAACTTCCACCAATCAACTTCACTTATTGATGCTATAAACTACGCGTTTAATGTTTTGCTCAGCGATTTATTTCGATTATTAATTGACGCATGGCCCATTTTTTTTATCAATTTTTCAAATAAAAAAAAAATTTTTCGAGTCCCAATTGTTCCTATTATTCTATTTTTACTACTTATTTTTTTTTTTTATAAATTTATCCGGTAATTTACGGAAGTATTCGTTAGAAATATCCGACAACATAATTTTATGATTCTATGTTATGCAAACGAAAAAACTAACTTTGCATGACCTTAAATGAAAGCAAAATCTATTGTTTTACTGTAGATTAGTAAAAAAAAAAAAAAAACAAAAAAAAACAAAAAAAAAAAATCCGACTTGCCACTTTGCGTAGCCTAATACAAAATTCACATCTACTTTTACTCAATAAAGATAAATTTATTTATTATAAAAATTGATAAAACAAGAATGTAAGCTGAAGCCAAAGTAAAAAAATGTAAATATAAAATATTAAAGTTATTATAACAAAATATCTCAAGCATGTTATTATTATTAAAGGTTTATATCTTTTCCTATTTCGTATATAATTGATGAAAAATTTAATAATAAAAAAAGGACAATATCAAATATGTCAGCTGTTCATATGCATTTTAAAACCCCACTTTGCCAATGCACAAGCAATTGTAAGTATGTATGTTAAATTAAACCCTAAATTCCAGATTCCAAAATGAATTTTGCTTATCATTAATTTGAAAGTGGATTTATATCGTTAAATTATTTGGCATTTACCATTTTCGCTTTTAAAACAAATTTGTGACTTTCCCAACAAAGGTATATATACATTCCAATGGAATTCTGTTACTCTGGCAACCTCTCCTATTAATTCTTCTTTTTTTTCACTATTCTCCGCAGAAGAATCCAACTCGTGCATCATTATTATTTTGTTTTCAATCTCTAAAATAAATTGATCCCAAGTTTTTATATATGGTTTATAATTTCCATGAAAACTCTCTATATGTTTTAGTAATAAATTTCTTGATTCATCCCTGTCTTTTTTGTTTAAACGTAATCGTTCATCACTATCAACATTGATCGGAGGAGCGTCAATATGAATAATTCCATTACATGAGTTTATTATTTTGGCAAGAAAATCATTTTCATCCATTATTTTTTGACGATCATCTTTACATTTATCAGGATTCCTAAAGCTAGTAAAATTAGTTCTTATTATTGTGGTGTATTTGACGATATCACATTCGAAAAGAATTGTTTTTAATAACTCGAAAGTATCTGTCTCTTCTTCAGTGAATCTTTTTCCTACAACAAAAAAAACTTGACTTATCCCTTCTCTCACAGCATAGACAGTTTCGGCTATTTTTGATAAGACGTGATTCTTAGGTAATTTAGTGTCACACAATCCTATTGTATCAACGACTCGATATAATTTTCCACTATGCCGGAACAACGCATCTTCGTGGTGCTTGGTTTCACTAACTGAATTTTCACTTTCTATAAAATTATTTTCACCACTCAATACGTTTGCAAGTGTTGATTTACCACTGCCAGTACGTCCCAATATTAGCAAGTTATTAATTTCCGGTTGGTCTTCTAATTCATCATTTTCTTTTAATTTTTTACGCGGTATTATCTTTAGTTTTTCTTTCTTGTAATTCTTAAATTTTTTCCCAAAAGGGTTAAGTTTCTCTTTAATTCTTGTTACTTTGACTTTGGGCAAATCAGCCTCATAAAAAAATTCTTCTAAACTATCTGGTAAGTACCTTAAGCCTTTATCAATATCAGTGTTAGAAATGTCCAAAACCTTTAAATTATTCAATTTTTTTAGAGATTTTAGAGTGCCATAAAAACGATTATAAAAACTTTGTTTTATTACATTAGCATCCGTTCCTATAAATAATCTTTCTATATTAATGAATTCGCTAAAACAATCCAAATTAGTTTTATTAATATTATTGTTCATTATATTTAAATATGTTAGTTTTTCAGGAGTTCGATGATTTAGTAATTCAGTAAGCCTATTATTTGCAACAATTATTTTGTATAGTTCATCACAATCACTCACATCTAATTTAGTTATATTATTATTAGACAAATCCATTTCTATGAGTTCATTAAAATTATCCAAAGACAATTCACCGCTCAATCTTTTAGTCACATCATCTTTCGTTATTATTAAAATCTCTTTCCTTTCTTCTTTTGGATAATTTTGATCCAACCATTTTTGAGCGATTTCCATACTTTTTTATTTGGTTATTATACGATATTTTATCAGAGAAAATTTATTCTAAAAAAATTATTCTTAGCACTTAATAAATTTTAAAAAAAGGTTACCTATACTATTACAAGATTTTAATAACCTCCCGATAAGCAACTGAGTTTTTATCTCAAATAAGAAATTATGCGAAGAAACAAAGGAATGTCCAACCAAGTGAAACGTTTAGGCACGCTGATTATGAGTGATGAATATGAATTATATAATTTTTATTGTATTTGTTTACATGTGATGCAGAGATTCAGAGAAATGATTGTTGCAGCCAGGAAAATTCAAAGAGCCAAAGATCTAATGCTAGTCTACGATGTCAATAACCAGTTTGAAAGGTCCAATTTTTACAACCAAAGCTTATATGGCAAAAATTTCTAAGGTTATAGAATTATAGTGGTAAAAACTAGTTTGTTGCAACTGAGATGAAATATGAACATTTTAATCAGTTTTTAGATTCACAAAAGGCGTTAAATTTGAATCTGTGCTCGACATAGCCCCTTTTTCATCCTATGGGCGAATATGATATATGCATAAAATTGATAAACAAATCTCTTGTACCACTAAATGAGCGCTGCCAAGAGAAAATATGAAATGTGTTATATCGTTTAAATCGGAGTTTTGATTAAAAAGGAAATAATCAAAACAACAGCCACTAAACAGTTTTATGTAGCATAAAAATCGTGCCATATGTTTTTCTTTATTCGATATACAGAATATGTCGATCAAATTCGGATAAATCCCAATCAAATTCATAATTTTACACGAGATTTAATTTTGATTTATCATTAATATCTTGTAATCTAGTGATTGAATTTTGATGATTTTAGTATCATTCGAATCGACTTATCAAGAGATTTGAATGGTACTAAAATTATCCACCAGAACACGAGATATCAATGATAAATCAAAATTAAATTTCGAGTAACATTATGAATTTGATTTTTACGAATTTAATCGACATATTCTGTATCTACAGCGATTAAGGTTACGTTATTACATCTAATTGGTAAAGTTTAGACACAAGTCGTCAACTTAAACAGGATGGCAAACGAGTATCAGAGACATGAGGGAATAAATATACATGAATTAGTCATACAAGCACTCAGTAAATAAATATGTAATTCAATAAGGGAATATAATACGTACGTATAAATCATCAATACAATAACTGATAACGATAATATAACAATCAAGTAATATATTTCATGAAATTCGATATAATTTAGAAATCCTCTCAGAGAACTTTATTATAATGAGGGGTCTGCTCAGAAACAACCTGAATACGTATACAAGCAAACTCAACGGGTTTAAATACATGTTGGATACTTAGAATTATCCGATACATTCATCGGATCAACTTCCATCTGATTATTACAAATATTATTTTCTTCAAGCCTTCCCCTCATATCTTTAACTAATTCAACGAACATTCATCTTAACTATTCCTTAATACCTCTCCATCAGACTAGCAGATTGTTGATAATAAGTGAATGCCGGGTGCTAACACGAGTAATGCCATGTTTCCAAAGGACACATGACCTGGATTTCTTAGTTGAGCGTATCATGGGTGTAAAAGTTGGTGAGCTATCAATCTATCCCGTTTCACAGACATTGAGTAATTATACCCCAATCTACTTCAGTACAATAAATATATATGGCAATGCGTATAGGAGTTTAAATTAGGAAATGGTTGGACAATATGTGATACCGAAATAAAGGAGGAAGCAGTGTAACTATCAACCCGGAAGGCAATTACAAGGTCTCCAATTTAACTCTAGTAGTTACTAATAATAAATGAGCTTAACGGCAACTTATAAGAATGTCGTATCGAGCAGTAAGACTTTGAAGAAGAATAACCGTTAACGTAAGGAAAATGTGAGGAAAAGGCTAGATAGAGAGAGATAGGTTTTATTAAAAGGAGGTGCGAAAGTTGTTTGCAACGAGGGTAATAGAACTTGACTTTTATAAAGTAACAAATCACATTGACAAGACGAAGTAACAAACGAGGTAAAGGGCTCTAATTAAATTGATAAGAGATAAGTATTTCGATTTCTATTGCATAAACTAGCGTCAAAAGTCCCTTCCGCATTACATTTACGTACTTCCTTTGTTTATATAGAGAAATTCGAACCTTAAATTACTAATTTGTAAAAGTAGCACTTGCGGTTTAATATTAAGAGTTTAATTGAGATCAAAGTTTGACGATTTGATTTCGATAGTGCAGATGTGTTAAATTCCATTAAATTTCTCATTTTCCGACGATTATTTCCCTACAGGCCATTTTCTCGACATTACTAAATGCATATATTGAGGTAGAATAGTGGTAGCAGAAAAAATTTGCTTATCACCGACATTTCCAAACCCTTCGGAAGATTTTTTACAGGCTAATCGATCAATTTTTAAACTCATACAGGGAGATCCCCAAAATTCCGGGTCGAGATGCATCGGATCCCGGTCGTATGGGCCAGAATTGATCGATTTTGCTAAAAATCACCTAGAATTTACTAATGGAACAATAGTCGTTCATTAAGCAAAAAATGCCCAGCTGATAATTTTACTATAGCTCATCATAGGCAGACATTCGTATGATTGGCTGTTTAAATCAATTTAATTTTACATTATTTATACAGTTTAAAGTACTTTT